TTTTTAAAATGAAAAGAGTGTTTTTACGAGTTACGCTTCCACACACGTTCCAAAGTATGGTTTGCTTTGATTTGTAATTTTAGATTTTATCACTACACTGCATAATTGCTGGTGAATGCAATCTCTGGCCACAATAATAAGTATGTTTAGATCAAGTCTTTCCAGTGTGGCACTAGTTTGTAAGAATTGTGACAAAGTTTTTTTTAGCTTGTGTTCAGGTATATCTAATGTTCCATGTTTAATTCAATTTCGGTAAAAGGCTTAGATTTGCGCAAGGATTCTGTCAGCAAAATGTTTTGAGTAGAATTTAGGGTAAGAATTCTTTTTTATTAATTTTGTCCAAAAAATGTTAATCTAGTTACTATCCATTTATCCTGAATAGCAAATATGCCTAAATAACATCCAGGTCACTTCCCCGAGTTACTTAATCAAGATACTTTAGTTACCGAGTGGTAATTATAGCGATCAAGTAGCTTTCAATTTTTTTCAGAAGTTTAAATTTGCTCAAAATCTTAGCTAAAATTTGCTAGTCAATAAAATGGTCTTAACTCTTCAACATCAAACTTATAGTAGTAAAAACTAGGCGTTCGTAGGAGCAGCTAATAATTTGCGCATCAAGTCAAGGACATGGTGGCATAAATGAATTTGTACAACACATCGTCTACCTTAAGTATACTTGTACCATTATTTGTACAAGCAGGTCCAAATTTTTCCCAAGCGTGGTGATTGTCGTTACCATTGCACTAGTCACAGAGCATTGGCTAGCGCTGAAATGCACTAAAACAGCAAAACTGCTCGGTGGAGGTGGCAGACAAAATTACACTAAGTAGGAAAAAATCCGCGGCTATTATATGGTTTTCCGGTCCCGTGCTCATGGTCCTGCTACAAACACTGTAGTGTTGGGTCTTCAAAGCAAAAATTGTTTTTCGACGTGATGTCAAATCTAACAGTACTGAGCTATTCCAGAAGCAAAATCACTCAGCATCCTGGGTGTCAGTAAGAAGGGTCACAATTGACATGCATTCAAG